AAGGGAATACTATTAGTAGTTTTTCTGACCCCTATACAAATATCTTTGCAAGTTCAGACCGATGCGACGTCAAATGCAAAGGCTTAAGTAGGTTGAATCTTTGTTGGTGGGACGAAGCTTTGTGTGGTTCCAGCCTGTTTAGACCCGCAACGTTGAAAATTCAGAATGACATCACGTACAACTCCTATTTGGCCCTGTTTTGGGCGGCTTTCCGGTGTAGGACTGATTTGGGAAGTTTGGAGGACATTATCCTAGAGCTTAGGGGTTTACGCTTACGGTTTAGGGCTTAAGGTGAGCCTTCATTTGCCCAACAGCCCACTCCAGCCAAGACATGTCGCAAGCAACACAACAAAGATGGCCCGGAGCCCTTGAAACCTTCTCCAAGCCAAAAACCTTAGGGTTCTTTAGGGTTCAAGTAGGTTAGGGTTTAGGGTTTAGGGCTTAGGGCTTAGGGCTTAGGGCTTAGGGTTTAGGGCTTAGGGCTTAGGGCTTAGGGCTTAGGGTTTAGGGTTTAGGGTTTAGGGTTTAGGGTTTAGGGTTAGGGTTTGGGGTTTAGCGTTTAGGGTTTAGGGTTTGGGGTTTAGGGTTTAGGGTTTAGGGTTTAGGGTCTAGGGTTTAGGGTTTAGGGTTTAGGGTTTAGGGTTTAGGGTTTAGGGTTTAGGGTTTAGGGTTTAGGGTTTACGGTTTAGGGTTTAGGGTTTAGGGTTTAGGGTTTAGGATTTAGGGTTTAGGATAAACCCTGAAGCCCTAAACCCTAAACGACCCCCCAAGCCCCGCGCCTCTTCAAAGATGTCTGGGAAGCCGCACGCCGCTACCCATGGGAGTGCCGATTTTTGCAGCAGCCGCCACATCAACCCAAAGACCCGGTAACCCTGGGTTTGGGGTTTAGGGTTTAGGGTTTAGGGTTTGGGTTTGGGGTTTGGGGTTTGGGGTTTGGGGTTTGGGGTTTAGGGTGCGAGACTTGGAGGTCTGGGGAGTTGAGCTTCCAGGGCTTCGGCCCCCCCGAGGGGAGGGCTGAAGGGCTTGGAGCTGTGACCTTGGAAAAGTGGGTTCATCTGCAGGGGCACACCCGAACCCTGTAACATTCCACTAGCAACCCTAAAGCACAGGGCTTCACAGCTTCTCCTCCTGCTCCTTCAAGCAAAAGCTTCGAGAAGGCTCAGGGTTTTTGGGTTTGCTGTTTAGGGCTGAGGGTGTAGGATTTGAACAAGGGCTTTGGGGTTTTGGGGCATGTAGGGGTTTAGGGTTTAGGGTTCTTAGGGGTCTAGGCTTTCGAGCTGGAGTTCGCCTTTCAGAATATAGCAGGGTCTTGTGGCTTAGGGCTTTGGATTTTAAAGCACACATCAAACCTGAACCCGAAAACCCAGAAGCAACCGGCTTCGTCACACTAGGAGGGGGGGCGGGGGGGTTGGAAAGCCTAATCCTTAAACCCCTAAACCCTGAACGCCCTAAACCCCTAACTTCTAGAACCCTGAACCCCTAAACCCTAAACCCAAAACCCCCAAAACCTAGACCCCAACACCTCCAACACCCTGAACCCGTATTTTAAACCCTCAACCCTTGAAGGAAAGGCTCGACAAGGCCCCCAAGTAGCCACCCCCCGAAGCCTGCCCTTCGAGCTCCGCTTAAAGCGCGGAGGATTTGGACTTTTAGGTTTGGCCGCTTGGGGCTAAAACTCTAAACCCTTCTTAAGCCCTAAACCCTAACCCTAAACCCTAAACCCTAAACCCTAAACCCTAAACCCTAAACCCTAAACCCTAAACCCTAAACCCTAAACCCTAAACCCCGCAATGTTCGTGCTTGTTGGTGGTGGAGTTCAAGTTCTAGGGCTTCCTCCAAAAAGCCTAAGCCCCCAACCCATAAACCCCTAACCCTAAACCCTAAACCCTAAACCCTAAGCCCTAAGCCCTAAGCCCTAAGCCCTAAACCCTAGACCCTAAACCGGTTTCGGGTAAAGTGCGGTGATGTTAAGGCTGAGAGTTCGACTGGCTGGCGCATTGGGAGCCGGCCTTCAACAGGAGAAAAAAAAACAGCTGGGTGGCTGCAATGCTTACAGGGTCTAGGGTTTAGGGTTTAGGGTTCAGGGTTTAGGGTTTAGGGTTTAGGGTTTAGGGTTTAGGGTTGAGGGTTGAGGGTTGAGGGTTGAGGGTTGAGGGTTTAGGGTTTAGGGTTTAGGGTTTAGGACCCAGGAGTAACCTAGGAATAAAAAGGGTGCCCTTTTTTGGCTTAAAGGGGATGATAAGGGAACCCCAACCGTAAAAAACGGAAATTAGGGCCTACTCCGGGTCCTAGTCTCCCATAGCCATGATTCCTACAGAATAGGGAAGCCCTAAAAGCTTAAAGTTCAACTCTTGGCTAAGTAAGTGGCTGCATTGCGCGGGCCCCGAGGGTGAATTCAGACTTTGGGGGGGGGGGGGGGGGGTTAGGACTTCGGGTTTAGGATCAAGGGCTTCGGGTTTAGGGTTTAGGGCCAGTTTGGGGCCCAAAGAGAGCCCCAAAATGCCCTCATCTAAGAAACACACCCCGAATTCACCATAATTAACCCTAAACCCTAAACCCCAAACCCTAAACCCTAAACCCTAATCCCTAAACCCTAAACCCTAAACCCTAAACCCTAAACCCTAAACCCTAAACCCTAAACCCTAAACCCTAAACCCTAAACCCTAAACCCTAAACCCGAATCAAGGGATCCCAGAGGTCCCTTGAGAGACTGAGGATTCGGGTGGGTACTTTTAGCTGGAAACTTGTGTCAGGGAACCTCTCATGAAAAGAAGCCCCCACCCCCTCCCCCCACTCTCACCAAAAAAACAAGTTCTGAGTTGCAAAACAGACCCCACACGCGCCTAGGCCGCTCGGCTCAGGCCCAGCGTCTTGACAACAAAGCTTGGTATGACACAGTGTTTAGGGTCTCTGCCTCAAGGCCTACGTAGACAACGTAGACTATAATAGCCGAAATCCTGAACCCTGGCAACCCCACACCCTACAGCCTACACCCTAAACCCTGACCCCTAAGCCCCTCAAACCCTAAACCGTATAAGCCCTAAAAAACCCTAAACCCCTGAACCCTAAACCCCTAAACCCCTAAACCCAACACCCCTAAACCCCCAAACCCTACATCCCTAAACCCCTAAACCCTGGCCCCAAAAAAAACCTAAACCCTAAACCCCTAAACCCAAAACCCTAAACCCTAAGATCCTAAACCCTAAACCCCTAACCCTAAACCCTAAACCCCTAAACCCTAAACCCTAAACCCTAAAATCCTAAACTCTTAACCCTAAACCCACAAGCCCTGAGGCTCAGGGCGGGGGCGGCAAGACCCGCAGCATCAGCGACGGCTGGAGCCGGCGAAGCTTGGGCATGCCCCGCAGGGGGGGAGACTGAACTTCGAATCCATAGGGTTCAGGGTTCAGGGTTCAGGGTTTAGGGTTTAGGGTTTAGGGTTTAGGGTTCAGGGTTGAGGGTTCAGGGTTCAGGGTTCAGGGTTCAGTGTTCAGGGTTCAGGGTTCAGGGTTGAGGGTTGAGGGTTGAGGGTTGAGGGTTGAGGGTTGAGGGTTGAGGGTTGAGGGTTGAGGGTTGAGGGTTGAGGGTTGAGGGTTGAGGGTTGAGGGTAGGGCAGGTGCCTGATTCCAATACACTGAAACCTACCCCTACAACCTAGAAAGAAGTAGGTCTAGAGGGAAATGTTTAGGGCTGGGGGCTTTGGTTGAGTGAGGTGTAAGGCTTAGGGTGTCAAAGCCTCGGTTTTTTTTGAAGGGTTTTGGTGCTCTTGGGATCTAGGTTTCCAGGACTCTGAAGCCCAAACCCTAAACCCTAAACCCTAACCCTAAACCCTAAACCCTAAAAACTAAACCCTAAAAACTAAACCGTAAACCCGAAACCCTAAACCCTAAACCCTAAACCCTACACCCTACACCCTGAACCCTGAACCCTAAACCCTAAACCCTAAACCCTAAACCCTAAACCCTAAACCCTAAACCCTAAACCCTACACCCTAACCCTAAACCCTAAACCCCAAACCAAAGGCTACCGTAGTAGGTGCTGGGTGCTTCATACGTGGAGCAGAGGCGGCGGAGAATCGGCGATGAAGAAGAAGAGGGGGTAGGGTGTTCAGGGGGTTTAGGGTGTTTAGGATGTTTAGGGGCGTAAGGGGGTTTAGGGGGTTTAAGGGGTGGGGGTTTAGAGGGTTTAGGGGGTGTAAGGGGGTTTAGGGGGTTAGGGGGTTTAGGGTGTTTAGGGGGTTTAGGGGGTTTAGGGGGTTTAGGGGAATTAGGGGGTTTGCGGTCAGCGTATCTTTCATAGCTTTTATCAAGGGTTTAAGGTTCCGGGTTTAGGGCTGCAAGAGTTTATGTCTGGGTTTTGACCTCAAATTGGTCCAAGCCATTGGACTGCCAGGAGCGTGTAGGGATCCGACTGCCCCCAAAACCCTAAAACCGCAAATCCCTAAAAACTTGAAACCCCAAAACCCGAAATCTGAAACCCCAAATTAAACCTAAAACCTACATCTTAAAACCCCAAACCCAAAACCACAGACCCAAACCGAAAACTTTAAAACACCAAACTGTAAAGCGAACCAATGCGTGCATAACTGCGTCCCCAACCTCTCAACCCTCACCTCTGTACGGCGGGCGACTTGGGTTTAGGGCTTACTGCTTCGAGTTTAGAATACTTTGGCCTAAAGCCCTGAACCTCGTGCTTCATGTTGCTCCTAAGCCCTACGACCGAAGCCCTAAACCCTAAACCCTAAACCCGACGCCCCACCCCTGACTCCCTCGTGGGGTGAAGAGGATCTCACTTCGGCATGTTCACCCCAAAGCCTAAAACCCCAAACTCTTAACTCTTAAGCTCCGAAAACCCAGAAAACTCGAAACCCTGGATGAACCCTCAGCTCGAAAATCCTACAATTTGGCCCATCTGAAGTGTTTTATTATTTTTTGTTCTGCTTCTTTCTGTGTGTGTGTGTGTGCGCGCGCGTGTGTGTTTTTTTCCGCTGCCGCGTCTTGTCAGTCGAAGAGCGCAGCCACTCCTGGAACGGGATTAGGGTTCACGGTTTAGGGCTTCGGGTGTAGGGTTCAGGGAGAATGGGGTGCTTCGGCCCAAATTGAAGGTTTAGGGTTAAATTTGGGGTCGAGGTTTGGGGTTGCATCTAGGATTTAAGAGGCTTAGGGCTAAGTGTAAGGCTGGGCAGGTTTGGAGTTAACTTCCTCATGCGTGAACCCTCGAACCCGCAATCCCAAGCGCTAAACCCACAACCCTAAAGCCTTGAAAACCTGTTCTTTCAGCTATTCAAGGTTTAGGGTTTAGGGTTTAGGGTTTAGGGTTTAGGGTTTAGGGTTTAGGGTTTAGGGAGCATTGGAGGTAGGGCCTTCGGCCCCTCAATGCAAAAAAAACACAAGACCCAAAAACCCTAAAGCCAAAAGCCCTAAAACCCTAAACCCAAAAAACCCTAAAACCCTGCAACCCCTAACACCCAAAAGCCCTAGAACCTTAAACCCAAAAACCCAAAAACCCAAAAACCCAAAAACCCAAAAACCCAAAACCCAAAAACCCTAAAACCCTAAAACCCTGAAACCCTAGAACCCTGACACCCTGGAACCCTAAAACCCTAGAACCCTAAAACCCTAGAACCCTAAAACCCTAGAACCCTACAACCCTAGAGCCCTAAAACCTTAAAACCCTAGATAGCAATGCCATACAGTCAGGCAGGTTTCTAGAACCCTAAATTCTGCTGTCCAGCTCCTAGTACCCCAAGAAAAGCTATAAAGGTCACCTACCCTAGCCCTAAACCCTAAACCCTAAACCATACACCCTAAACCCTAAACCCTAAACCCTAGACCCTAAACCCTAAACCCTAAACCCTGAACCCTAAACCCTAAACCCTGAACCCTAAACCCTAAACCCTAATCCTGCTGATTGCAGGCCTTCCGACTTGCCAGAGGCCGGCGGCGGTGCCGCAAACGGTGATGCGCCCTTGGCAGTCGGCGCCTCGAATGGGTGGGTTTAGGGTTTGGGGTTTAGGGTTTAGGGTTTAGGGTTTAGGGTTCAGGGTTTAGGGTTTAGGGTTTAGGGTTTAGGGTTTAGGGCTTAGGGCTTAGGGTTCAGGGCTAATGGTCTTTTCATGCTCAAAGCCCGATCAACCCTCTTACTTGCTTCATTCTTCCTACAAAAAAAACAGGAAACCCAAGAAGCCTAAAGCGCGACATGCGCAAAGAACGTCCCCGGCATCGAGCGCGAACACATGCTGCCAGTTAAAGATTCAGAAGCCAGGAGGTGAGTCGGGATGATCAACCCCTCTAGGAAAACTTCGGACTCGAACCCAGACAACAGGACGATATCTTGAGTGAGGGTACCACATTCGTGAGGCCAAAAGACGCAAATGACCTGGAGAGCTCTTTATAGCTACGAGCGCTAAGAGTACCTTAGCGTAAACGAGATCGAAGCACTTGACGAACATCCCGACAGTCTGCGTCAACGTTTCATGTCCCTGTGCCCTGCAAGGAGAATTACAAATCCGGAGTTTAGGGGGTATCCGGAGTTGGACGCACCCTACACCCTGTAGACTCTAGACGTATGAAGCCTGGAGAGAACCTAATGCCCGCGATGTTGAGGGTCTAGCAGTGGGGACTCCGTGAAACTCGGCCCTACACGGCCTGCATGCCAAAACCCAGCTTAGCAAGGAGACTTGGGGGGGAGGGGGGGACATGATCCCAAATTCAGCATCCACCCTAAGCGCGCAAACCCAAAGAACCCTAAACCCAAGTAACCCTAAACCCGAAACCCTAAACCCGAAATCCTAAACCCGAAACCCGAAACCCGAAACCCGAAACCCTAAACCCGAAACCCTAAACCCTAAACCCAAGGGACGACCCTCTGCTCGACGAGCCTCGACCACCGTCGGAGAGGCTGCAGGCTTGCTGGGCTCGGCGCCTGCTGGAGATGAAATAGTCTCCCCCTTTTGTGGGTTTAATTTAGGGTTTAGGGTTTATAGGGTTTAGGGTTTAGGGTTTAGGGTTTAGGGTTTAGGGTTTAGGGTTTAGGGTTTAGGGTTTAGGGTTTAGGGTTTAGGGTTTAGGGTTTAGGAGTTTTAGGGTTTAGGAGTTTCAGGGTTTCAGGGTTTAGGGTTTGGGAGTTTCAGGGTTCAGGAGTTTCAGAACCAAGCTACCGAAACCCTAAACCCTAAACCCGCTTGCAACGCTAAACCCTAAACCCTAAACCCTAAACCGTACATCCTAAACCCTAAGAACCCAAACCAGACCTGGAGGTGCCGCAGAACACTGCTGCAAGCACAGGCTCGAGCATGGCGCCCCAAAATTCAGGACCCTGAGCCCTCACAAGCCTTCCACCCTCCTACAGGGAAACATGCATGTTTGCATATATTATATATATATATATACATACATACGTACGTACGTACATAAACACATACATACGTACGTACGTACATACATACCTACTTACATACATGCATACATATCGTCGGGATCTATAGGCTGTAGGGTTCTGGCTTTGAGGCGATAGCATTGGCAACTCTTTCGGCATCCACATTGGAGACCCTGAGGCTTTTTGAGAGGTCTCAAGCTGAACATGGCAAAGCCGCCCGCCTGCAATGAAGAAATCTTCCGCGGCGCCACCGAAAGAAGCCGACAAGTCCTTTCGGATTTCTTAGGGTAGTTCCACAGTCCCTTCACATGCACCCTACACTAGGGAAGCTTTATACCCTATTAACTTCTATGTGCTTAAGGACCCCCAAAAAGGTCGCTCTGAGATAGGGGCCCTTCTTGGTGGAGGTCCGAGGTCGAAGGTTCGAAGCCCCAAGCCGAAACCCAAAGCGCTAAACCCGAAGCCCTTGTTGTTGGGTTTCGGGTTTCGTGTTTCGGGTTTAGGGTTTAGGGTTTAGGGTTTAGGGTTTAGGGTTTAGGGTTTAGGGTTTAGGGTTTAGGGTTTAGGGTTCAGGGTTTGGGGTTTAGGGTTTGGGGTTAGGGTTTAGGGTTTGGTTAGGGTTTAGGGTATAGGGTTTAGGGTTTAGGGTCTAGTTGCTAGGGTTTAGGGGTTTAGGGTTTAGGCTAGGGTTTAGGGTTTAGGGCCCGCTTCATAAGAAACCTGGTTTTGGGCCCGGGGCTTGCCAAACCTCCATGCAAACACCCTCGCTTCCCTACAGAAGCCTGCTGGAATTTAGGGTTTCGGGTTTACAGGGCTTACCGGGTTTAGAGGGCTAGGTTTGGGGTTTACAGGGGTTTACAGGCCTTTCATGGTTTGCAGGGTTCAGGGTTCAGGGTGAAACCGAAAAAACCCACAAGAACCTGCTCAGAAATTCAGGGTTTGCAGGGTTTACAGGATTTGCAGGGTTTGCAGGGTTTGCAGGGTTTACAGGGTTTGCAGGGTTTAGGGTTTCAGGCTCAGGGGCAACACACACAGCCCTGTAACCCTAAAGGGTTTAGAGTTTATGTTTAGGGTGAAACCCGGAACCCTGACCCCTAGACGTCTCAAAGGACTGCTTTGACTCATCCCAGAAACCCTTCTACAGCTGAGCTGCGATGGGCTGTGTGGCGGCCGGAGCGCTGGAGCCTGAGGCGACTCGCAGATGGTAGCAGGGCTTCACTAGGGTTTAGCGTTTAGGGTTTAGGGTTTAGGGTTAGCCCTGACTCACTCTAAGCCCTAAAGACCAACACCCTACCTTCAGCGAAGATGGCTGGGGAAAATTGAGTGGGGGTAGAAATGTCAATAGTAGGTTGGAAATCCGTGCAAGCCACAGCAAATCAAAACCCTACCTGGACCTGACCTTCAAGCTTGCCACCTTCAGGAGAAGCTCCTGCTTCTCCTTCCTTTCCTGCTCCAGCTGCTGCTCGAGCTCGGCCGGATTATTCTGGCCCTGAGCCTGAACCATGCTGCATCGTCCCTGAATGCCACATCACGGAGATGGAACCCACGTCTGACCACTGTCAAAAAAAGGAGCCAGCCTTGCTCCAAACGCGAAACCTCAGCCCCTCAACCCCTATCATCCTAAGCAGGGCTTGGGGTTTAAGGGTGTACGTGCCACACTATACTCGTATAACCCCTGAGGGTTTACGGTATAGGGTTTCGGGTTTAGGGTGCCCTGCCCTTTTTGCTTAGAGGGGTTTGCAAGGGAACCTACCCCCCCCCCCCCCGCAAAAGGAAAAAAAAAGTGAATAAGGGTACTACAGGGCATCCTAGTAACCCTGTAACCCTAAACCCAAAATCTTAAACCCTAAACCCTAAACCCTCAACCCCGCCCTAAACCCTAAATCCCAAACCCTAAACCCTCAACCCTAAACCCTAAACCCTAAATCCTAAACCCTACAACCCTGCACTCAAACCATATCCCCGGACCCAGCCTGGCCATGAGCCGAGCGGACTTGGGCCAGCGCTTGCCTCGGATGAGCTGTGGTTTAGGGTTTAGGGTTTAGGGTTTAGGCTTTAGGGTTTAGGGTTTAGGCTTTAGGTTTGGGGTTTGGGGTTTGGGGTTTGGGGTTTGGGGTTTGGGGTTTGGGGGTTTGGGGGTTTGGGGGTTTGGGGGTTTGGGGGTTTGGGGGTTTGGGGGTTTAGGGTGTAGGGTTTAGGGTTTACGGCAAGTTTAGGGCAAGTTAAGGGTTTAGGTGGGGGGGGGGGGGGGGGGGGCCAAGCGAACCCTAGAATTGCATCATCTTCCCCTTGCAAGCCCCTTAAGCCTAAACCCTATCACCTCTGTTTTGGCATAGGGTTGAGGGTTGAGGGTTGAGGGCTTAGGGCTTAGGGCTCATATTTGCCATGCTACTATCACCTCTGTTTTGGCATAGGGTCGAGGGTTTAGGACTTAGGGCTCATATTTCCCATGCTACTGCAATTCCGATAAAAGGCCTTCATGGACAATAAGCACATTCTGGGGCACGTTTAAGCTTACCTCTCAGCCCTAAACCCTAGACCGCAGTCATTAGGTCCAACACGTAGGCACAGGACCCGTCTACAATGGCGTTTAGGCTTCAAGTCGGGGAGTTTAAGGTTTACTGTTTAGGGTTTGGGGGTTTACGGTTTGGGGGTTGGGGGCTACAAGGGGGTGGAGGGGACTTGCGGTGTACGGTTAGTTTTCAGGGCTTTTTTGCCCCCTCGGATGATCCCTGCGCTGATTCATTTGCCTGCCAGAAGCATCTATAAGTCTATAAGCCCTAAACCCCTAAAGTCTTCAACCCTGCCTCACCCAGGGACCCAACCCTCAACCCTCTAATGTGCTGACCCTAACCCGCACAAAAATCTGGCTGCTGCTCGAGCGTCACTTGGCCCGTTGGCCGCCGGGAAGGGTGCGCTAGGGCCTCGAGTAGCGGTGCGGGATGAAGGCTAAAGCCCTAAACCCTACGCCCTAAACCCTAAACCCTAAACCTTAAAGGAACTTCCACCCCAATGTGGTACCCCCAAATATTCCGTGCCACTTTCGGTCTGATATTCTCTGGAGGCCTGCCTTAGGGGTGAGGTTGGGGGGAAGTATGGCAAGCCCTAAACCCTAAACCCTAAACCCTAAGCCCTCAGATGTGAACGTCGGGCCGATTTGAGGTTCTTCATGACCAGCCTCTTCCAGGACACCCAATATCTAAAGGGCTTAGGGTTTAGGGTTTAGGGTTTAGGGGTTTAGGTTTAGGGTTTAGGGTTTAGGGTTTAGGATCTTGTGGGGTGAATAATCTAAGCCACCTTACTTACCCCACATACCCTTAAAACCCAACAACTGCAGGAAATTGGCAGGTTGCCTCAACCCTGAAAACAAGTTGAGCCTTGAAGCCCGAAGCCCTAAACTCTGAAACCCCCTCCAGATCCTAAACCCTCAGCCCTAAACCCTAGCCCTAAACACCGTGCAGCCCCCCAAACAACCCTAAAGCTCTAAAAGCCCTAACAACCCCAAATGAGAGGAACAAAAATAAAAAAACAAAACTCCCCCAAAACAGGCCCCCAACAAAACCGGACTCCGGTCCCTGCGCCCTACCAATCCCTTTAGGGTTTAGGGTTTAGGGTTGAGGGTTTAGGGTTTTGGGGTTTTAGGGTTTCGAGTTTTAGGGTTTTAGGGTTTTAGGGTTTTAGGGTTTAGGGTTCAGGGTTTAGGGTTTAGGGTTTAGGGTTCAGGGTTCAGGGTTCAGGGTTTAGGGTTTAGGGTTCAGTGTTCAGGGTTCAGGGTTCAGGGTTTAGGGGGTTTAGGGTTTAGGTTTAGGGTTAGGGTTTAGGGTTTAGGTTTAGGGTTTAGGGTTTAGGGTTAGGGTTCCCTCAAGCCCTGAAGCTGTCAGCTCAAACCCTGCAAGCCCCCCAAACACGGTAGTTTGCAGCCTGGCGGAGGGCCCATAAGACCAGCGGGCAGGGGCACCTGGATACTTACCCCCCTTTATACTACAACTACTTGAAGGTTCATGGCTACTTATAAGTAGGGGGTTTAGGGTTTAGGTTTGGGTTTAGGGTTTAGGTTTAGGGTTTAAGGTCTAGGGTGTAGGGTGTAGGGTTTAGGGTTTAGGGTTTCCACCCCCCCCCCTAGGTTCCCCCCATAATTTAGCTAGATCGGGGGGAGAATTCAGCCCAAGGTTCTTTCAGGGAGAAACCAAGGGGGGGGGGGGGGGGTAGTATAGAGGGGGGTAGTAGGGGACCCCATGACTTTCGGGCGCAGGGGTTCGTCATTCGGGTGTGGAAGTTGGTTGGGAAGGCAAGAAAGAAGTGCAGGGTGTAGGCTCTAGGATTTAGGGTGCAAGGTACTTGGAACCCCAATGATAAGTGTACTACTGTCTACTTACAACCTACTTAGAGGATTTAGGGGCTTATCAGAACAAGGAATACTTGGGGTTCCAGGGCCTGGAGTGGAGGGTTCCAGAGTTTAGTGAGGGTTTTAGGGTGTAGGGTAGGGCGTAGGGCTTCGAATAAGAGAGGTCCCTCTCGGGGGGAGACTTTGGAATTTGGGAGGCTCCCGCTAGTCGACATCAACAATCCGCGGTTGGACGAAAACCCAAGAGCCCTGTGACGCTTTTGGTCTCAGAGTTTAGGGTTTAGAGGTAGTCAGGGTTTACGGGAACCAACTCTCATACATGGAAGAGCCGCAACAACAGGTTCGCAACTCCATGCCACCAGCCCTTGGAATCTGAACCACACTGAGCCCCACCGCCCTAAACCACTACACGAAAAGGAAACACCAAAGGACACACTTCACCCGAAACCTGGTAACCTTCAAGCCTCTCCGGTTGACTCAAACCCCTCCCCCTTCCCCTTCCCCCCGAAAACACATCTGAACACTTAGCCCTAAATCACATAAGCTCAACCCTAAGCCCTAGACTCAGACCTCAGCAGGCCCCGCCCGAAAAAACTAAAACCCAAACCCTAAACCTTGGGCCCTAGCAGTCGAAACCCTCAACCCTCCTAAGCCCTAAACCCTAAACCCTAAACGCTAAACTCTCCTGCCGAAGCTGAGGACGCCGCCCCCACCGGAGCAAGAGAGACCCCCGCAGCGCCAGTGCCTGTCGGACGCGGGCTTCGGCTTGTTCGGCTTGTTTGTTGGGTTTAGGGTTTAGGGTTTAGGGTTTAGGGCTTAGGGCTTAGGGCTTAGGGCTTAGGGCTTAGGGCTTAGGGCTTAGGGCTTAGGGCTTAGGGCTTAGGGCTTAGGGCTTAGGGCTTAGGGCTTAGGGCTTAGGGATTAGGGCTTAGGGCTTAGGGCTTAGGGCTTAGGGCGTCATCTTAGGGTTTAGGATCTTGTGGGGTAAATAGAAGCCACCTTACCTCTGACATCTCTTTAAAACCCGACAACCCAGGAAAATGGCAGGTTGCCTCGAAGCCCTAAACTCTGAAACCCGAGACCCTCCGCCCTAAACCCTATAAGCCCTAAACACCGCGGAGCCCCCCCAAACAACCCTAAAGCTCTCAAAAGCCGAACAACCCCAAAATGAAACAACAAAAATAAAACTCCCCCAAAACAGGCCCCTAAGCTTGAAGCCTGGTGGAGGGCCCATGAGACCAGCGGGCGGCAGGGGCACCTGGATACTTTCGGGGAGTTCGGAGGGTCGAGGGGGGGAGGAGGTGGGATTCTCACTTCGGGTAGGGCGTAGAAGCCCTTTAGTGAGGGTGCAAGGGTGTAGCGTAGGGCTTAGGGCTTCGAAAGAGGACCCCTCACCCACCCCGCCCCACCCAAAAAACAGTTGGGCTTGGGGCCTGTATCGATTTAAGGGGTTTAGGGTTTCGGGTTTTAGGGTGTTAGGTGTTAGGTGATAGGGTTTTAGGATTTTAGGGTTTTAGGGTTTTAGGGTTTTAGGGCTTTAGGGTTTCGGGGTTTTCGGGTTTTCGGGTTTTCGGGTTTCTGGGTTTTTGGGTTTTCGGGTTTTAGGGTTTCTGGGTTTTCGGGTTTTAGGGTTTTGGGGTTTTGGGGTTTGGGGTCTGCTTGCTAGACGTACAGCCTTTGCGAATATGCGTCAAGAAACCTCCGCTGCCGACACGTGTATCTTTCCTTCACTACGCTACTAAACCCGAAACCCGAAACCCTAAACTCCAAACCCTAAACCCTAAACCCTGAGCCCCGAACCCCAAACCGACTGAACTTGGCAAGGAAGTCAAGCAGCGGCAAGGTGGCGCCCCCAGCATATGGGGGTTTCCGAAGTTAGGGGTACCTTACACGCGGTCCTCATACCCTAAACCCTGAACCCTACTAATTGGGGGTCTATATGAAGGGTCCCTCATTCTCATACAAACCCTAAACCCTAAACCCTAATCCCTAAACCCTAAACCCCCCTTATCTCTTGACATGGTGGGCGATGGCGGGCAGGGCAGGCACACACCGCAAGCCACCTTGTGCCACGTTGTTTTGTGGCATCTTCCGGTTCTGGTTGCTCTGGACCCCAAACCCTAAACCCCAAACCCCAAACCCCAAACCCTAAACCCTAAACCCTAAACCCTAAACGAGGGCAAGGAGGCAGAGTCAGGTTGAGACTTTGGAATTTGGGAGGCTCCCGCTAGTCGACATCAACAACCCGCAGTTGGACGAAAACCCAAGAGCCCTGTGACGCTTTTGGGCTCAGAGTTTAGGGTTTAGAGGTAACTAGGTTTACGGGAACCAACTCTCATACATGGAAGAGCCGCAACAACAGGTTCGCAACTCCACGCCACCACGCCGGAGCCCTTGGAACCTGAACTACAGAGAGCCCTGCAGAACCCAAACGCCCTAAACCAGTAAACGACAAGGAAACACCAAAGGACACACTTCACCCGAAACCTGGTAACCTTCAAGCCTCTCCGGTTGACTCAAACCCCTCCCCCTTCCCCTTCCCCCCCAAACACACATCTAAACACGTAGCCCTAAATCACATAAGCTCAACCCTAACTAGGCCCCGCCCGAAACACTAAAACCTAAACCCTAAACCATGGGCCCTAGCAGTCGAAACCCTCAACCCTCCTAAACCCTAAACCCTCCTAAACCCTAAACCCTCCTAAACCCTAAACCCTCCTAAACCCTAAACCCTAAACCCTAAACCCTAAACCCTAAACCCTAAACCCTAAACCCTAAACCCTAAACCCTAAACCCTACTCCTGCCGAAGCTGAGGACGCCGCCCCCACCGGGGCAAGAGGGGCCCCCGCAGCGCCAGTGCCTGTCGGACGCGGACTTCGGCTTGTTTGTTGGGTTTAGGGTTTAGGGTTAAGGTTTAGGGTTTAGGGCTTAGAGCTTAGGGCTTATGGCTTAGGGTTTATATGGTTGATTTTTTATAGGGCATATGGCTTAGGGCTTAGGGCTTCGGGCTTAGGGCTTAGGGCTCGGGCTTAGGGCTTAGGGTCTTGGGGTGTGTAGGAGGGAAGCTCGCTGGTGCTAAAAGCACCCGAGCCGCTCGTTTGCGTTAGCAGCATGTAGTCCCACCCCAACCACCCAAACTATTCTCATTCAGGGTTAAGGGTTCACCCCCCAAACCCCCTCAAGGGGGCCTTTCTTGCTTTATACAAAAGAGCAGGGTGGGGCCTCCTGAGCTTTGTGGAGCATGTCAGTGGCTCGTAGGCTTCTTGGAGCTAAACCGTCGATTGCAATACTAAAATACCAACATTTTCACTACGGTCTGGGCAAATCCTGGATCGCGGGGCTTCATGCAGCCTTAGGGCAGCAAAGCGGTAGGGGGTAGCAGGGGCCTCGGCCGGCCCCTCCTTTTCGATACTAAAAAATCCATAGGAGGTTTGAGGCGGGGTCCAGAACATTGCAGCTGGGTCCCAGGCAGTCCCAGACAGAGGGTTATCAGAGGAATGCGGGGGTTTTTTAGGGAAAGGTGGGTCGTAGTAGGGTTCCCATTTTCAGGGGGGTCCCAGACGAGTGCCAGGCGGTCGGTCGCGGGGCTAGGAATGTGGGGGACTTAGCAGTGTCACGGGAATCTCAGATCAGGGGGGTCCCAGAGGGGTCGCACCAGAGTATCAAGGAACGCAGATCGGTCCCAAACCGACAAATCTGCAACCAGAGGTCTATGACCTCACGTGAAGCATCTGAAAGCACACGGTCAGGTGAAGCCGGGTCGGATATTTGAATCCAGAGGTGGCGCGATGTTTGAGGAAAAGCAGGACGTTGGGACTTGCACGTCACATGCGACTAATTTGAACAAACAAGCACCACAGCAGGATCTGCCAGGCCAGGGCACCAGACCCCCCCGGGGGGTATCCCCGACCCCCCAAAAAACACCAAAACACCTCAACGACTGGGGGTTTGGGGTCCTCATTATATAGGGCTTACGCCCTTGGTCTGAGCGTAGCCAGCCACTGCCGTCCCGTCTACCGGGAGGCTTTACCCTCCCTCACCGTTCTGTGGAGATGCTCGGTCGGGGACCTCGGTCGAAGCCTCGAGCGCCCATGCATATGGACAGCGGCGCTCTCGGCAGTTTAGGGTTAGGGCTTAGGGCTTAGGGCTTAGGGCTTAGGGTTTATATGGTTTAGGGTTTATAGGGCATAGGGCCTAGGGCTTAGGGCTTCGGGCTTCGGGCTTAGGGCTTAGGGCTTTGGGCTTAGGGCTTGGGGCTTGGGGCTTAGGGCTGAGGGCTTAGGGCTTAGGGCTTAGGGCTTAGGGCTATAGGTTTTGTTTTATCGATTAAGCGTTTCACGGGCTTAGGGGTTTGGGTGCTCGGGCTTTTTTTATCGACTGAGCGTTTCATGGGCTTAGGGGTTTGGGTGTTCGGGCTTAAGGCTTCAGGCTCAGGACTTTAGGGGCTGAGGGCTTTCGGGGCTCCAGGGGTTTCGGGGCTCCAGGGGTTTGGGGGGGGGGGTATGGAGGTTGAAGGTTGGTCAACATCAGGAACTGCGGGCTCGCAGGTTTGAGTTTGTTGGATTGTAAGGTTTCGGGTTTAGGGTTTAGGGTTTAGGGCTTCGGGTTTCGGGTTTCGGGTTTCGGGTTTCGGGTTTAAGGTTTAAGGCTTAGGGGGCTAGGGTTTAATTAGGGTTTACGGTGTCCTAAAAGCAACCCCTTAAGCCCCCCAAACCCGCAACCCCAACACCCGTAACCCCCTAAACCCTAAACCCTAAACCCTAAACCCTAAACCCTAAACCCTAAACCCTAAACCCTAAACCCTAAACCCTAAACCCTAATGCTAAAAGAGCTTCTGTCTTCACCGGTTGTGGGCGGCCCGCCTGGCGATGCCGCGGCCGGGCCTGAGGCGCCATTTGGCTGGTCCTGGACATCTTGCGCCTCCCTACCTTGGAGTAGACCCTAAAAAAAAAGGTATATACTCTTTTAGGTATAAGTAGCTAGAATAGGAACCCAGAACCAAAAAAAGTATATTAAAGTACAGTACTCCAAAACCCAGGCCTCGATTTGTGCTGCAGTTTAAGGTGCTTAGGGTCTTGGAGTGTTTTTGCGGGGGGGGAAGGTCAAGTGCAGAGCCACTGGCCTTGTCTGAATTGCTTACCTGATGCCCTCAACAAAACGAAGCCGCGACCGGGCCATTTCCCTAAACCCTAAACCCTAAACCCTAAACCCTAAACCCTAAACCCTAAACCCTAAACCCTAAACCCTAAACCCTATACCCTATCGGGGCTGACCGGACCAAAAGTTCAAGGCCTGATTTGTGTCGCTTTTATCGCGTGCTCTTTACCCCACGGCGTATTTGGGGCCAAAGGCAGAACCATTCAAGGCCTTTTCAATTCGAGCAAAAGGTTGCAACGCAGAGTACCACACCAACAGGTCCATAGTCTAAATCATACCTCAACCCGAAACCCCAAAATAGACAAACCCTGAACCCTTCACCCGAACCAACCCTAAACCCTCAACCCCACACCCTCAACCCTAAACCCTAAACCCCAAACCCCAAACCCTAAACCCCAAACCCAACCTTAACCCTACCTAACCCAAAAGCATAACTAGTCCTTTGCCGACCAAGGCGGTCCTTCGGAGCTGCCGGCAGCAGCGGTGGCTCTGGCGGGCCAGGTTGAGGGCCTGCGCTCAGGAAAGAGGCCTTAAAAGCCGCAAAGCCGCGTGCGGCGGGTTTAGGGCTTGGGGCGGTTTGGGGTTTAGGGTTTAGGGTTTAGGGTCACCTCACAAAAAACAGCGGGCCCCAAGATGAAATATCACCGACAGCGTGCGAAAGTGGGCACCAACGCTTGCGCCAGGGGTGTACGGCATCAAGGGCAGCAGCTCATGCCCACCTTCTGTTCCAGCTACGCACACGTCACGACGCGCGATTACTAAAGGCATGATGGACGCCAACGGCTTCAACCTGTTCGAGTTTTTCTCAGGAAGGCCGGCTTCAGCATATCGCTGATGCTCGAGATTCGGTGTGCAGCTCACACCTGACAGCAAAGCTTCCCTCCTCCTGACAGCAAAGTTTCCCTCCTCCCCCTCCTCCTCCTACTCTTCCTCCTCCTCTTCCTCCATCTCCTCCCACCACCCCTCATGCGTCTGCCCGCACCAGGGCAAAGAGACACACCCTAGAGCAAACGGAGTTCCGGCGCCGCAAGGGTTAAGGCTTAGGGTTTAAGGTCCTACAGGGTCTATGGTTTATGGGGCTTAGGGCTTCGGCTTTTTTCTAGGGCTGCTGCGCTTCCAAGTCCCTGCAGCCGGTGCAAAAGCCCTAGAACGTAAACCCCTGGTTGAACCCGAACCCCGACCCACACACGCACCACCCACCCGCCCTAAAAAAAGGAAATACAAAAACTAACTCCGAACTAGAACCCTACTATACACACCCTGAATCCTAAACCCTAAACCCTAAACTAAACTCCAGTCTGCAGTTGGGCGGACAGCTGTAGAGCCTGGAGCGTCCCAGGGTGCAGGGCCGCCCTCAAGCTCGCGGGCTTTTCTAGGGGCTTGTAGGGTTTTGGGTTCAGGGCTTCAGGGTTCAGAGCTTAGGGTTTAGGGTTTAGGGTTTGGGGTTTAGGGTTTGGGGTTTAGGGTTTAGGGTTTAGGGTTTAGGGTTTAGGGGTTTTTGGGGTTTTTTGGGGTGGATGATTTCGGCCGAGAGCTCGCTGAGGGTTTGGGAGCCAGGGGTTTAGGGGTAGAGAACTGGATCGAGCGGGCCTTGGGTTCAGGGCCTTCAAGCCTAACCCTAAACCCTAAACCCTAAACCCTAAACCCTAAACCCTAAACCCTAAACCCTAAACCCTAAACCCTAAACCCTAAACCCTAAACCCTAAACCCTAAACCCTAAACCCTAAACCCTAAACCCTAAACCCTAAACCCTAAACCCTAAACCCTAAACCTAAACCATAGCCCGAAACCCATAGCCCTAAAGCCATGAACCGTGAATCGTGGGCGTTCAGTCGGCCAATGGCATAGAAACCTCGGCAGCCTTGGAACTAAAGCCTCGAACCTTCTTCTTTGACCCTACCATAGAAAGTTGTGGCCTTCAAGAACACCCCAAAGCCGAAGCCCCGAACCCAAAACCCTAAACCCTAAAACCCTAAACCCCAAACCCCAAACCCCAAACCCCAAACCCTGAACCCTGAACCCTAAACTCTAAACCCTAAACCCTAAACCCTAAACCCTACTCCTCTGTGAGCCTCCTTGTAGGCTTCCCAAACCCAAAGCCAAGGCCGAGCTGCATTGGGACAAGCCGCCGGCGCTGCCTCTGCAGCACTTGCACCTTCGTCGGCGAGTTTTAGGGGGTTTAGGGTTTAGGGTTTATAGGGTGTTTTGGGTTTATGGGATTTATAGGGTTTGTAGGGTTTATAGGGTTTAAAGGGTTTATAGGGGTTTTAAATTTGGGTTTATGGTTTAGGGTTTGGGAAGCGCTGATCCAAGATACCGACCCGGGTGGGTTTTTGATATAGCATATATCATCATTGCTTCTACATATATATATATATATACATACACCGGTGTGTATATATATATACACATACACATATATGTACATGTGTGTGTATATATAAGTATATATATATGAAAATAAACGATGCTCTCTTTATATATCTTACTTAATATATGTATATATACACACTTCAAAGCGCATTTGGCGTGAGTCCAGAGTTCTTGTTGTTTACAAAGGCCCGTAGACTAGATCAAGCCCCAGCTGGAGAAGGTTTGGCGCTTGGGGCTTATGGTGTGGGGTTTGAGGTTTAGGGGTCAGGGTTTGCTGAATGTTCCCCGTGCACACAGCCACATAGCCATGCAGCCTAAGCTGTGGCGCACCAACGTGCGAATGCTCTGGCCCAGACGGATTTTAGCTTTTGTTTAAGGGCGTCGTCGTCTGCAACTTCGTGCATCAAAGCCAATGTAGAGGTAGGGTGGATGCAAAGCCATCGAGAAGCTAATTGACATCGGTCTCAGCGGAATGCGACCCCGATGGCTCACTCTCATGAAGCCGCTCTGCGCTCTTGGATTCTGAAGCGACGGCTCGAGGTTTAGGGTTTAGGGTTTAGGGTTTAGGGTTTAGGCTTTAAGCTTTAGGGTAAAGGTTTAGGTTTATGGCTTAGGGGTCATGGAGTCGCCCTGGGGGCTTCGGTACAAACCGAATCTGACTGAGATGTCTCAACATCATGAGGTCGCTCCAAACGCTTAGGTGACGCGATGGCATATAGTCATCGCTCAAAAACCTCTTGCAGGCTTGTGGGAGCCAAACCAATATCCAGAATCTTTAACCATAAATCTAATCCAAGGGTTCAAGGGAAATCGTGGAACCCTACATCCTACCTAAACCCTAAACCTGAAAGCCTTTTAAATCCCAACCACAATCCTAAATCTTACATCCGTAGTCCTTATCCTTAACCGAACCGTCCGAAATCCTAAGCTCTAAATCCTGAAACTTGAAACCTAAATCCTACATCCTGAATCCTGAGCCTAGTCATCCGAGTCGTGAGCCTGCAATTAGAATCCTAAACCCCAGGCCCGCAGCCGTAAATCCTAGATCTCAGGACATGACTCCAAACTACAGGGCGCCTGCACGCAGGTTCACTAGCTCTATAGGTTTCGACTGTCCTCACCACACAAATCCTCGGCGCGCTCGCGTTGAAACGGGTCTCGCGCACGCACGGCGCCTATGCCCCTCCCAGGTCGTTCGCCCACCTCCCACAGCTCGGAGGTCGGCCCTAAAAACGGAGCTTTGTAGAAACCCCCCGCCCTGAAACCCCCCTCAAACCCCGTGAGACCCCCCTGCTGAATCTGACGGCTTCCGGCCTGGCAGCAACCCTGCCAGGACCTTGTGAAACCCTCTAAAACCTTCCCCCTGGCTGAAACTACCATCGGCCTCGGAAGTTTTATTGGAAGTAAGCAATTGCCCAGGAATAGGTTGGGGTGGCTTTGCCGCCTTCCACAGTCGGGCCAGAGCTGCCCTTCGCACCTGACAAGGCTGTCGAGCCTCTGCTGCATCCTAACCTTCACGGCATCTATGCCATATTACAGCAAACCCTAAAGCCTAAAGCCTAAAGCCTAAAGCCTAAAGCCTAAAGCCTAAAGCCTAAAGCCTAAAGCCTAAAGCCTAAAGCCTAAAGCCTAAAGCCTAAAGGTCTAAAGCCTAAAGCCTATAAGCCTACAAGCCCTAAACCCTAAACGCTAGGTTTCAGGGATGCATTGGTTGAGGAGCTTGCTTGGCCTGCGAAGTCAAGTTGCCGCACGGCGAGGGTTGCTGCGACAGTGTTTAAGGCTTATATGGACTTAGGCCTTAGGGTTAGCATGCACCACCCTAAACCTTGCCGAGGTGCTGGGGGGATCCGCTTTCGCGCTAAGCTCGAAGGGGGACGGCGAAGCCTGAGATGTACGGAATTGCCATGATAGGCGCTGGGCTCAGGTTCTATACCCTACTTTGGAGCAGACCCTGTATCTTTCAAGTATTATAGTAGAGTACTCCAAATCCCTGAATATTTAAACTTGGAGCTACAAAGGGTTTAAGGGGGGTCAAGTTTTTCTTAATTTTTGACATGATTCTCGGCTAGGGCCAAAAACTCCATAACGGTACCTTTGGGGTCTACATTCTTTGGGGACCATAACCGTAAGGTGTATCTCCCAATTTGGGGTCTTTGGGTCGCATGACGGGCCATGAAGGGAACCAAAGCCAAACAAAAAGGGGAGAGAAGGAGCTGAAGAGTCGGCCCCTAAACCCCTAAACCCCTAAACCCCTAAACCCCTAAACCCCTAAACCCCTAAACCCCTAAACCCCTAAACCCCTAAACCTGCTGAATCCCTAAACCTGCTGAATCCCTGACTCCCCGCCCGAAACCCTGTTCACCCTTACTCCAATCCCAGCCGCCGTGGTGGCCGCCACAGGAGCGGTGCCTGCCATGGTTAGTTCGGGTTTAGGGTTAGGGTTTAGGGTTTAGGGTTTAGGGTTTAGGGTTGAGGGTTGAGGGTTGAGGGTTGAGGGTTGAGAGTTGAGGGTTGAGGGTTGAGGGTTGAGGGTTGAGGGTTGAGGGTTGAGGGTTGAGGGTTGCGGGTTGAGGGTTGAGGGTTGAGGGTTGAGGGTTGAGGGTTGAGGGTCTTAGGGTTTAGAGCGAGTCGCTCGTGCTAGGGTTAGGGGTTCAGGGGTTTAGGGTCTAGGGGTTAGGGTTTAGGGTTTTGGACGGGTCTCAAAGCCCGAGCAGCAGCAAAAACCTGCGATTCAAAATACTTGGTGATGCCTCCAACCCTAGACTCTGACCCTGAGCCTCCTCAAGACCCCTAGACCCCAACCCTGAATCCTGGAAACCCAAAAATACCCTACATACCCTACAGACCCGAACTGAGGCGAGTTGCTGACCAAAGTCATCAGTCACTGCACATGAGTAGACACGACAAGCGCGCATCTCCGCACAGCACGAGGCAGAAACTGCAGAAGACCTAGGGCAACTTGGAGGTTCATTGTACTTCTTAACCAATTAGAACTGTCCCCAAAACTGTATAACCATGTTAGGGTACTTAAGGGGCTGATAAGTGGCTAGAAGTACAGTTAGAATTGGTTAACAAGTACCAGGAACCTCCAAGTTGTAGACTGGGGCTACACGCAAAGGAACTTGGAGTTGCATGGCCAACGCCGCTTAGATTCCACCATGGCGAGATCGCCACAGATCCTTGACAGCCTGAACCTTAAACCCTAAACCCTAACTCCAAGCCCTAAACCCTAAACCCTAAACCCTAAACCCTAAACCCTAAACCCTAAACCCTAAACCCTAAACCCTAAACCCTAAACCCTAAACCCTAAACCCTAAACCCTAAACCCTAAACCCTGTACAGGCCAGGTGGCACCCTGGCCTTGTGCCGAGGCCGCTTGCTTCGGGCGCTTCGCAAACTGCAGGAGGAACTTCTCCGCCTCCTGGCGGGCCATAGGCAAACCCTAAACCCTAAACCCTAAAGCCCCCAATCCCCTGCCAAGGGATGGAGTCCTGCAGGGCCTACGCGTCACATGGTTGAGGGATTGCTTTTGGGACCCAGACGGGACACTGGGGTTTAGGGTTTAGGGTTTAGGGTTTGGGGTTTGGGGTTTGGGGTTTGGGGTTTGGGGTTTGGGGTTTGGGGGTTGGGGTTTGGGGTTTGGGGTTTGGGGTTTGGGGTTTGGGGTTTGGGGTTTGGGGTTTGGGGTTTGGGGTTTGGGGTTTGGGGTTTGGGGGGTTTAGGGTTTGGGGATAGGGTTCAGGGTTTAGGGGTCCACATATCTTCCTAAGTCTCCAATAACCGAGGACGAAAACGGTTCAAGTTCCTTGTTCCTACAAACCCTTAGGCTCAAAAGTAGCCCCAAAACCTTGCATAGGAAGGCCTTTGGGCCCAAAAAACCCGAAAAAAAGAGTCCTTAGCGCCTGAGGAACAGGAGGAAGACGAAAAAGTTGAAAGTTCAGCTGTTGGCTACGTAGAGTTTAGGGTTTAGGGCTTAGGGCTTAGGGCTTAGGGCTTAGGGTTTCGGGTTTAGGGTTTAGGGTTTAGGGTTTAGGGTTTAGGGTTGTCCCTTGGGCTTTAGGCCCAGGCTTTCTCACATCAGGCTTCAAGCGGCAAAGCACTCACAAGCCTGCCTCGCGAATAGCAGAACCCCATGGCGCATTCTCAACCCCCCAACGCTGTGATTTCCAGAAGAGGGACGAAACCTACTAAATAGACCTTCCGCGAACACGAAACCCTGAGCCCTAAGCCCTAAACCCTGAGCCCTAAACCCTAAACCCTAAAGCCTAAAGCCTAAAGCCTAAAGCCGAAAGCCTAAACCTTAAACCGTAAACCGTAAACCCTAAAGCCTAAAGCCTAAAGCCGAAAGCCGAAAGCCGAAAGCCTAAACCCTAAACCCTAAACCCTAAACCCTAAACCCTAAACCCTAAACCCTAAACCCTAGCTGCGGCCAGCACACGCTTGGCTCTGGCTGCTTCCGACCTGTGCCCATGCCAGCAAGAGGGAGGTTCCCAAAACGATTCCAGGTTCTTAGGTACTATAGGGGAATGTACTATAGGGGAATGGGGAATTCATAATTATAATAAGGGTCCTTTTTACCTTTCTTTTTGGGGAGGTTAAGGATCATCAGTTCTTAGGTTTTCCCTTTTTTTGGATTCCGAGAATCAGGACTCTCAGTGAGATTGTTGCCTTTTTGGTAGGGCTTTTTTTTTGGGCCAGTCTTGTAAGCGAGTAGGGCTTGTAAGAATACCCGGTTCCGAGCCCTGGGGTCTCCGATTCTCGGGTTTGGGGTTTAGGGTTCAGTGTCGTCGGGTTGGTCTTTGGCCCAGTGAACGGCCCTAACCCCTAAACCCTAAAAACTGTCACCCTAAACCGGGAGCCCTACAACCCAAACCCGACACCCCTCAACAGCTTCTTCCTCCTCTTCTTCTTCTTCTTCCTCTTCTTCTTCTTCTTCCTCCTCCTCCTCTTCTTCGGTGCTCCAACAGCGTTTTGGGGAGACCCAAAAATGGGTCCTTGGTGGCAGGGACACTGCAGCTCGAGCCGCAGACCTCTATTGGGGCACTTTTGTTCCGTTTCCGGTTTAGGGTTTAGGGCTGAGGGTTTAGGGTTTAGGGTTTAGGGTTTAGGGTTTAGGGTTTTAGGGGTTAGGGTTTAGGGTTTAGGGATTTCGTGATCAAAGCTACCGCTTTTCTAGACGTCTCGGAGCCGTCCGAGGAGCTGGGCTGACTCGCCGAGGATGGCGCCTTAGGGTTTATAGGGTTTATAGGGTTTAGAGGGTTTATAGGGTTTGTAGGGTTTGTAGGGTTTATAGGGTTTATGGGGTGGCACAGGTCAGTGTTAAGTCTTCATCCTACTGGCGCTTAGTAGGGTTTAGGGTTTAGGGATTCGGGTTTAGGGTTTAGGGTTTGGGGGTCAGTGTTAAGTCTTCATCCTGCTGGCGCTTAGTAGGGTTTAGGGTTTAGGGATTCGGGTTTAGGGTTTAGGGTTTGGGGGTCAGTGTTAAGTCTTCATCCTACTGGCTCTTAGTAGGGTTTTTGGTTTAGGGATTCGGGTTTAGGGTTTATAGGGTTTATAGGGTTTATAGGGTTTGTAGGGTTTATAGGGTTTATAGGGTTTATAGGGTTTATAGGGTTTATAGGGTTTATAGGGTTTATAGGGTTTATAGAGTTTCGGGTCTAGGGGTTGGGGTTCAGGGCTCTGAGTGGGGAATGAGGGAAGTAGGTACCGCATCCATCTGCTGCGACACAGAGCTTAAAACCTCTCAACCCTAATTCAATCCTAAATAAACCCCAACGCTGCTTGCGACGTAGGTTTCAGAGCCTCTGAGATTGAGCCTAAGTAAGAAGGTTGAGCCTAAGTAAGAAGGATTGCCCTGCAAAAAACAGGGCGGTCCCCAACCTGACAGGACGCCTGAAAAGGGATCCTAGTTCCCTAAACCTTCTTTCCCTAAACCCTAAACCCTAAACCCTAAACCCTAAACCCTAAACCCTAAACCCTAAACCCTAAACCCTAAACCCTAAACCCCCCAAACGCTAGGAGGATTAAAACGGGATCCGAAATTAGAGAGAACTGCCCCTGTTTTGCGGGCAAGGGGCTGCTGAAGGCGCCGGCGCCGCGCCAGGCATGCCCACACCTTCCGTTGTAGGTGGAGGGTTCAGGGGGGTTTAGGGGGGGTTAAGGGGGGCTTAGGGGGTTTAGGGGGTTTAGGGGTTTAGGGCTTAGGGTTTCGGGTTTAGGGATTTTGGGGGTTTAAGGTGCTTTGGAGGGGGGGGGGTTGGTGGGTTTTTGGGGGGGCGTTTTGAGGAATCTTGGGCTTCCCCCCTCACCTAAAGACTCTTCCTGCATGCTCACGATCCCCGGCTACATTCCTGCCATGAGGGGGGGCATGTGGGCTCTCTATATGAGTGGCATGCCACTGGGGCTTCCGAGCCGAACCCTAAACCCTGAGTACATGCCTTAGGGTTTAAAGTGAGGGCTTGAGGTTCATTGGGTACTTAAAACTCCAGTTCTAAGTCTACCTACGGCTATACTGGGGGGGGGGGGGGGGGTACCCTGAACCTGTTGGGGCTTAGGGCTTAGGGCTTTGGAGTTTAGGGTGCAGGGCTTAGGGCTTGGGTGAGAGGGTCGAGGGTTTTGGGGTGTGTAGGGTTCGTATAGTTTGGGTTTTAAGATTTCGGGCTACGACTTGGGGTCAACGTTATATGGTTCCTTGGGTTTTGGGTTTCGGGCTTACCGTTTCGGGTCTACCAGATCAAGCAGCGCCTGCTTGAGAGGTTGCCGGACCGTCGCTGAACGGCTTGTTCAATACCTCGGCTGCCTCCAACGCACAGGATTTGGGTGCTTGTCAAAAGCATGATCCCTTTTGGGGTACCCTAAATCTTAGGGGCCGTATTGTACTAGGTGGATCCAAAAAGGACCATAATCAAACCCTAAACCCTAAACCCTAAACCCTAAACCCTAAACCCTAAACCCTAAACCCTAAACCCATTCAGGCTTACAGGGTTGAGGGTTTTGTCGCTAGGCAGGTTGCTTTCCTCAATCCTGGTGGACGACACAACCACACTCATACCCGAAGACCCTCCCCTAAACTAACCCGCAACCCTAAACTCTAAACCCTAAACCCTAAACCCTAAACCTAAATTACCCTAAGCCCTAAGCCCGAAACGCCCAACAACCCCATCAATAACCCAATGAAAAACCTACGTCTTAAACCCTCAGCACCTCAACGCGAAAACCCCTGCCCTTAAATCCTCAACCCTGGGACTAATCGAGGCCATGAAAGTTGTCTTATGGCCCACAAATTCACGCGCTGTCGCAGTATAGGGCAAAAGAGCCCCCTAAACCCTAAACCCTGAACCCTAAACCCTAAACCCTATACCCTAAACCCTAAACCCCGGACCCTAAACCCTAAACCCTAAACCCACTTCAGCCTTTGAGCGCCCCATCCCCAGGTCCATGGTCCACAGGCACCCTACATGCCAGACCCTGAGCCCTACAACCCCCTAAACCCTGAACATGAAGCCCTAGAACCTAAACCCTGAACATCAAGCCCTAAACCCTAAACCCTAAACCCTGAACCCTAAACCCTAAACCCTGAACCCTAAACCCTGAACCCTAAACCCTGAGCATCAATCCCTACACCCTAAACCCTAAACCCGAAAGGCCGTAAACCCTCCATCCTGAACATCAAGCCCGACACCCCGTGGGTCTGCGCTCCACCTCTACAGGCTTGCTGGGGCCGGCCGGCGCCCCAAAGGGCGACGTGGCGCCTACGCTGACATCGAAGCTCGGCTGATGGGACCAGTAGGTCTAGGTGCAGGTTCAGGGTTTAGGGTTTAGATGGGTTTAGGGTTCAGGGTTTAGGGTTTAGGGTTTAGGGTTTAGATGAGTAGGGTTCAGGGTTTAGGGTTTAGAGGGGTTTGGGGTTCAAGGTTGAGGGTTGAGGTTGAGGGTTGAGGGCTGAGGGGTTCGGGTTTGAGCAGTTAGCCCATCGATCGGGAACTGCAACGGCGCAGGGACTTTTAGGAGTTTCTGCCCTTGGGGGCTGGCATAGACTTCTAGTGTTTAGGCTTCGTGTGTTTGTTTGTGTGTCTGTGTGTGTTTAGGGTTTAGGGTTAGGGTTTGGGGTTTGGGGTTTGGGGTTTAGGGTTTAGGGTTTAGGGTTTAGGGTTTAGGGTTTAGGGTTTAGGGTTTAGGGTTTAGGGTTTAGGGTTTAGGGTTTAGGGCTTGCTAGGTGTCAGGGCTGGATCTTTTGAAGGTTGCGTGCCGAGCGGCTCGGTGGGCTGCTGCAGGGCTCCTTGGAGCTGCAGGCTGGAGACTGAAAAGTACTAATTTACATATTTACATATTTACATATTTACATATTTACATATTTACATATTTACATATTTACATATTTACATATTTACATATTTACATGTTTACATATTTACAAATTTACATATTTACATATTTACATACATATACATATTTACATATATATATATATATATAAATGGATATGTATATATATATATATATGTATATGTAAATATAAATACATATTTACATATATATATACATATGTATATGTAAATATATAGATATATATATATATATATATGTAAATATGTAAATGTGTATATGTATGTATGTATGTATGTATGTATGTATGTATGTATGTATGTATGTATGTATGTATGTATGTATGTGTGTGTGTATGTATGTATGTATGTATGTATGTATGTATATGTATATGTATATGTATATGTATATGTATATGTATATGTATATGTATATATATACACATATGAATTTATCATGAAATTTTGTATGTGTGTCTTTACATGTCCCTATATCATGCTTGATCATGATAGATGACATAATACTGTATAGCATTACAATGAATGATCTTATACTCTATGTTATATTCTATTGTATAGATGTAAAAAGCCAACACCCTCTTCTGTGACTCCGGCATAGGGTTTGTGAAGATTCATGGGCAGTTGTTAGAAGTAGGCTTATCAGGTAGCCCAAGTAAGGAGGGCTCAGAGCTTAGAGCCTGACTAGGAATCAGGGTATGGAGCTTTCAGGACCCGAAAACTCTGCACCATCAAAGTAGAGGTTCGGAAGTGAATATAGCTGAAAACTATGCTTACGAATATATACTCTAGATGTCAAACCGCCCAGCCCTTCAGCTGTAAACGACGGCCGGGATGCAGCGGGCGATGGCCCTGGCGCAGTGGCCGCAGGGGCCCAAGGGGCCGCAGGGGCCGCAGCGGCTGCAGGGGCTGCAGTGGCCGCAAAGAGGCCGCTTGCGCCTTGCGATGCCGCAACTCTAACAGAAGGAGCCAGGAAGCTGTCTGTAAACCTGTGGATATACTTCCTGTTTAGGGTTTAGGGTTTAGGGTTTGGGGTTTAGGGTTTGGGGTTTGGGGTTTAGGGTTTAGGGTTTGCCACGCGAGTGCGCCTAGACCCCCCCCCCCAATAAAGTGGAAGGGGGGTCGGCGCAGGAGCCGAAGCCCCACCCTCCCAACCCAAATTACAAACCTTGGCCGGGTTTAGGGTCCTATCTACCCCCCAACCCCCTTAGCAAGGGGGGCGATCTACCCCCCAACCCCCCTAGCAAGGGGGGAGCACATTTCAGGGGGAGGGGCTTCCCTACGAACGATAGGGCGGGGACCCATGCACAACTCCTTAACTTATTTCGGGCCCAATCCCTTAATTTAGGATCATCCTTAATGTCGGGTTCAAGAACCTTAATTTTAGGTCCTCCAAATCCCTAATCTAAGGCGCGACACCCTAATTTAGGGTCTGAAACCCTTGATTTAGGGTCCAAATCCTTGATTTTTGAATCAAAATCCCTAATATAAGGTTCAAAAACATAAATTTAAAGTTTCTGCCCAAACCCTTAATTTAGGGTCAAAATCCTTAATTAGGGTTCAAAACCTTAATTTTAAGGTTTCGGCCTTCCAAATTCTTAATTTACGTCAATCCCTTGAACTTAGGGTCCGAAACCCTTAATTTAGGGTCCAAACCCTCAATTTAGGGTTAAAAGCCTTAATTTAGGCCTCAAAACCCAAATTTAGGCCCTCCAAATCCTTAATTGAAGGCGCAATCGTTTAATTTAGGGTCCGAAACCCTTAATTTAGGTCCAAGCCCTTAATTTGGGTCAAAATCTTAATGTAGGGCTCAAAAACTTTAATTTGAAACTTTTAATTTAGGTCGCAATCCCTGAATTTAGCTTTGATTTATGGCCAAGTTCCTTAATTTACAGTTAAAAAGCCTTACTTTGAAAGATTCGGCTCTCCAAATCCTTAATTTAGGGCTCCCACTTTCTTTCGGTCCAGCTCGTTTATTCTATTCCCTTTGTATTAAACGAGGGCGATGCTTTGGACAAGGGCAAGAGAGGCGAAATCAATAGAGCTATGAGTAAACAGATGATGAGCCCTATTAGTGAATCTCAGTTTATTCCTCATGGGACGCCGCAGGGTTCCGTGTGCTCTCCCGTACTACAATTGTTAGTCTATAATTTTCTTTTGGAGAGGTTTCGAGGTTTATCCATATATGCGGATGACTTGGACTTTGTTTCTACTATTAAAGGGGAGAGAGCTCTATTGAGGAAGCTTTCCATGTACAATCAGGTACTTGCACAGGATAAGACTGTACGTATCACTCCTTGTTCAAAGGGCCCAATTATAGTAAAATATCTTGGTTTGGTTATTCTTTTCAAACCCTCTTCTTCTTCTCTATCATTTACTATTCTATAGCAACACAACAAAACCAGAATTAGAGGCAACGCGGCAATAGCACAGCTTCATGCCGCAACGCCAATAGCTACGTGAGTAGCAGCAATGGTCTGGGCTCCCAGGGGTGCTGGGTTCAAATTGGCGGTCGCTCTTATCAGGATCGGTATAAATCTGTTGAAAAGAGGACTGAAGCTGTGGGCGAAGGCTATGCTCACGGACTCGCAGAGGACATGTTTCAACTACGGAGCAGCGGCGCCACCCTGTCCTGGCCCGCTGACCCCTGCTGCCCAAACCCACCCTTCCCTCCCCCCCTCCTCCTCCCACACATGGCTCCGCAGACGCCAATGACACCTCAAAGAAACAACCGAGCAACCCTCCACTTGCGGCCGGGCCGAGCAGACGACGCGAGGCGTTTACAAGCGACGTACCAGGCCAGTTTCTCCAAAGTACACTCTCCGAGCACAGCGCAAGTTCATCTCATCCTCGAACAGAAGCGGCATGGCGCGTGACCGGAGAACGGAACAAGTCGATTGCGTGGCCCACACTGGCTACACGTGTACCGAATCCTCCCCACAAGTGCTACCTTTCGTGTCCCATTGTATCTGATCAGGTAATTACATCGGAGCACTGCAAATCAGGAAAGAGAAAATAGAAAAAACATATGAACTTCTCGGTTCAAAGGCCTCCTTGCGCTGGATTGCAGGGGTGGCCACGCTTGACACTTGCACCGTGCCAACTGCAACCAAAGGGGTTGATTGGCGAAGATCAACTACCGCAACTTGTAGGAGCTCATCTTTTCCTCCGCTTGCGAAAAGGGAGGAGTGCTGTGGGACGGCATCACAGCATCAAAACGTCTGTAGCCCGAATATGCCCCCATCACTAGAGCCTCGGGCTCTCCAAGTAGGCTGAGGGCAACTCTTTCACAAAATAGTTCAAGGGGGTTTAGGGTTTGGGTTTCTGGGGTTTGGAAGCTTCTGTAAGCTTAGGCTTTCTGCAGCGCCCTGGCACTCCGAACTGTGCACCGTCCTCTAGGCGATACCAAGACCAGCCAAGGACTGAATGACAGAATCAGCGCTTCTGGAATATCGTGAACTTCAGGGCGTGCTCCGAACAATTGCCTCCGTCTTGAGCCATAGATCTGCATGGGTCATTTGCAACGTTCAATGCATGCATGCAGTATACTGTGCGCGTATCGATGCACACATGCAAACGTTGGTCTTGGCTTTCTCGTCAGCGGCATGATCAATGACGACACTAAGCAAGCCAATAAGTCTACTACTAGAATACTGATAGTAACAGCCATCACAGAAATGAAAACAGTACAATACTGCGGGTGACACATCTGGACACTGGGAACCATGCTATCTGATCTAATCGAATACTGTCCCTTGACTTGACGCTGACTGCCATCGAACATTCATCCATCATGTCAGGTATGGATAAACAATCAGTCATGGCAAGCACTCGACAACACGCTCCAGCTGATGCATCCAAACAATGGTTCGCTCACCTTGCCACACCGATACTGGCACACTAAGACACGATCAAGGCCACCATTCCGCAAATCAATCACGACGTCGTCGATATCAGCGAACTGCACTCGGAATTCCATGCGCAATCCCTTAATTTAGGGTCCGAGATAACGTCCAAACCCTTAATTTAGGGTCAAAATCCTTAATTAGGGTTCAAAACCTTAATTTTAAGGTTTCGGCTTTCCAAATACTTAATTTAAGTCAATCCCTTACTTGGGGTCCGAAACCCTTAATTTAGGGTCCAACCCCTTGATTTAAGGTTAAAATCCTAAATTGAAGCCTCAGAAACCCTAATTTTATGGTTTAGGCCCTCCAAGTCCTTAATTTATGGCGCAATCCCTTGATTTAGGGCCCGAAACCCTTCATTTAGGGTCCAAACCCTTCATTTGGGTCAAAATCCTTAATGGGTCAAAATCCTTAATTTACAGTTCAAAAACCTTAATTTTAAAGTTTCGGCCCTCCAAATCCTTAATTTAGGAACCAATCCCTTAATTTAGGGTCCGAAACCCT